TATGTCGCGCGCGATTCTAAGAACCCACACAGTCTTTCCCGCATTCAGCCTGGAGACCCTGCGTTGGATGTGCCTTCATCTCGTCTGTGGTTCAATTGGCTCAATTCATCAGTATTCATTCATGCGTATTTATTCATCCATGCCATTTAGCAGTGGCGCCCCTGCAATCCCAGGCGTGCTGGTCCTTCCCTGGGACAGCGCTGACTCGGTTGCTGTTGGCCCCATCATTTGTCAGACGACAGTCTCCAAGCGTCTGATGAGCCCAGTGGAGCGACAGAGCGTCTTGGAAACCGATACCTAGGCTGGACACACGTGGCTCATGCCCTGTGATCCCAGCACTTTTTGGGAGCGCACGAGGCAGGCAAAGATCATTGAGGTCAGGAATTCGAGAGCCACGCGGCCAACATGGCAAAACCTGCCTCTACTAAAGAATACAAACATTAGGGCCAGGCTATGGTCGTGGTGGCACCTGGCGAATCCCGCGCTACTCGGTCGAGGCTGAGGCCAGTAGCAACCTCTCTTTGAACCCAGGAGGCAAGTATGTTGCAGTGAGTCGAGGTCACGCACCTGCACTCCCAAGGCCTGGGCACACAGGAGTGATGGAAAAAAAAAAAAAAAAAAGCCTATACCTGGAGTGGGCTCTCTGGATTTGGGCTGAACTGGCTAGGATGTCTACCCAAAAAATCATCCAGTCATTTAGTCATCAAATATTTATTGAGGGTCTACTATGTGGCGAGAACTGTTCTAGGTGCCAGGGATACAGAAATTCACAAAAGAGACAAAAATCCCTGCAGTGATGGGGGGCCTTTAGTCTAAATAGGGGGCGACAGGTAAAGTTTAGAAGGTGACAAGTCCTATGGAAAACAGAAGTGGAGAGGGAAGAGGATTGGGGAAGGATATTCATGGAGTTGTCAGAAAAGGCCTCATTGAGGAAGTGACTGTTAGGCAACAGCTTGAAAGAGGGTTTTAGCCAAGCAGATATTGGGGTCATTCCAAGCCAAGCACCCTGAGGTTGGGGTGTGCCTGGCAGAGTCAAGGAGCAGTGAGGTGGCCAAGGGCTGGAGCAGTGTAAGCAAGGGGGAGAGTTGGAGGAATGAGTAAAGCTGGAGCTATTGGAGGATACCGAGGGCGGGAATGATGTCACCAAATTTATCAGGATGGCTCTGGCTGCTGTGCCAGGAATGAAGGAGCAGCAACACCAGCCAGGAGGCTGTTGTGGTAATTCAGGCAAGATATCACAGTGGCATGGATGAGGGAGGTAATGGTGGAAGTAGGGTGAAGGGGTGGTTTCAGGATATATCTTGACAGGAAAGCTGACAGAACTTCCTGACAGATTGAATGTGGGGAATGAGAGAAACAGAGGAGTCGGGGATGAGTCCAAGATTTTTCACTTGAGCATCTGCAAGGATGGAGTTGCCATGAATTGGCATGGGGAAGACTGTGCTTATGCAAATCAGGCTTGGGGTGGAAAATTCAGAGTTCAGGTCTCGATGTGTTGGATTCGAGGCGTGTGTTAGTCATTCAGTTGGAGAAGTCGAATATGCAGTTGGATTATATGAGGCTACAATTCAGGAAGAAAGTCTCAGCTGGAAATATAAATTGCAGAGTCAAGGCCAGGTGCGGTGGCTCATGCCTGTAATCCCAGCACTTTAGGAAGCCGAGGTGGGCAGATTGCTTGAAGCTGGGAGTTCAAGACCAGCCTGGCCAACACGGAGAAACCCCATCTCTGCTAAAAATACAAGTCAGTCGGTGTGGTGGCAGGTGCCTGTAATCCCAGCTACTCAGGAGGCTGAGACAAGAGAATCACTTGAACCTGGGAGGCAGAGGTTGCAGTGAGCTGAGATCACGCCACTGCACTCAGCCTGGGGGACGGAACGAGACTCCATCTCAAAACAAAACAAAAATTGTAGTCATTAGTGTGTAACTGACATCTGAAGAACCTGGATGAGAGCACCAAGGAGAGATTGTGAGTAAAGGAATGGGTGTGAAGTGTGGTCTAAGAGAGTGGTCAGAGGTCACAGGAGGAGAAACAGGGCCAAGGAGAGCAGGCCGGGCCAGGAAGTAGCCAAGCAGCAGATCAAGGAGAACGATTAGGGTCCATGGGGCCATGTTGGGTTTTGGGGCACCCTGGTGGGAAGTTGCAGAATTATTTTAAGCCTAATGTATCAGTAAGATTGCCTTTGGAAAGAAAAGTAGAGACACAAAAATTAGGTTGTTTAAGGTTTTATGAAGATTAAACAGGGCCGGGCGCGGTGGCTCAAGCCTGTAATCCCAGCACTTTGGGAGGCCGAGACGGGCGGATCATGAGGTCAGGAGATCGAGACCATCCTGGCTAACATGGTGAAACCCTGTCCCTACTAAAAAATACAAAAAACTAGCCGGGCGAGGTGGTGGGCGCCTGTAGTCCCAGGTACTTGGGAGGCTGAGGCAGGAGAATGGCGTAAACCCAGGAGGCGGAGCTTGCAGTGAGTTGAGATCCGGCCACTGCACTCCAGCCTGGGGGACAGAGTGACACAAAAAAAAAAAAAAAAGATTAAACAGGCCTAGGCTGCATTGCACACCTCCATCCAGCATGGCAGCCGCTCCAGCTGATGAGTGGAAGCTATCTGGAGTGCTGATTGGAGAGGGAATCAGAGGCTGTAGAAAAGGTTCTGCAGTCAATTAGCAATGTCTGATGTGGGTCAGGCCTAGAAATGGTGGCTCCTAGAAATGGTTCTAGACCAGTGGATCTCAGCAGGGGTCATTTAGAAATGTGTGGAGGCATTTTAGGTTGTCACTATGACTTGGGCCAAAGTAGGGGTAGGGCGAGAAGGAGAGGGATACTCCTGACATTTCGTGGCAGGAACCAGAGATGCCACGTGTGAAGACTTTCCTGGATAATGAAGGGTCATCTTATTCCCAGATGAAACACTGGCCACTTGTGACATTCTGGATTTGATACTGTAATAAAAACACTCAGGTGGGGCGCGGTGGCTCATGCCTGTAATCCCAGCACTTTGGGAGGCCAAGGCGGGTGGATCACGAGGTCAGGAGATTGAGGCCATTCCTGGCTAACACGGTGAAACCTCATCTCTACTAAAAACATAAAAAATTAGCCGGGCGTAGTGGCGAGCTCCTGTAGTCCCAGCTACTCGGAAGGTTGAGGCAGGAGAGTGGCGTGAACCTGGGAGGCAGAGCTTGCAGTGAGCTGAGATCACGCCACTGCACTCCAGCCTGGGCGACAGAGCAAGACTCCGTCTCAAAAAATAAAAAAATAAAAAAATAAAAATAAAAACACTCGACGTTTGTGTAAGGATTTGAGCCTCCAGACTCCTCCTGACTTTGCCTTCATGGTCTTGAAATCCCCTAGCTCCCTCCCATAATGCATTATTTCTCTGAAGATCAGTCAGACAGAATCTGTTTGTCCTTCCAGAAGCTGTGCCATTTCCTGCTGGTTCACTAGTGAGGGTAGGAAACCAAAAGGGACACAAGCAAGTCTCATTATCATTATTTTTTTGAGATGGAGTCTCACTCTGTCACCAGGCTGGAGTGCAGTGGAGTGGATCAATGAATAAATGAATGAATACATGATGAATTGAGGAACTGACCACAGAGAGATGAAAGGCACACCCAGAGGGTCCCCCAGGGCTGAAATGTGGAAAGAAGAAGGTCCTCTTTGGAAGGAGTGCAATGCAACCTCCATTTCCCGGGTTCAAGTGATTCTCTTGCCTCAGCCACCCAAGTAGCTGGGACTACAGATGCGGCCCACCATGCCCAGCTAATTTTTTGTATTTTTAGTAGAGACGGGGTTTCACCATGTTGGCCAGTATGGTCTCAATCTCGTGACCTCGTGATCCACCTTCTTCGGCCTCCCCAAAGTACTGGGATTACAGGCATGAGCCACCATGCCCAGCTGCAAATCTCATTAATTTATCTCCTACCCAGACTGTTTCCTGCACGATTTATTTCTCTATTTCATTTTTCTCTTTCATTCATTCATCCATTCATTGATTTGGTAAGCACATCTATTGAGCACTTCCTTGCAAATTCAACATTCTCCAGGGATCAAGGGCACATGCATATACTGGGTGACTAGTGGAGATCATGGCAAACTAGAAAGTACGTGTCTGTCTGAAGGGGACAGCCACTACCCCACCCCAGCTGATTGTTGCTTTGGGGAAATGCAGGTCCAGTGTGCCATGTCTTCCAATTACTTTAAAAAAAAAAAAAACCAGACACCTAGATTTTCATATGAGACTCCCCCCAACCACCTTTTTTGAGATAGGATCTTGCCCAGGCTGGAGTGCAGTGGTATAAACAGGGGTCACTGCAGCCTCAGCCTCCCGTTCAAGTGATCCTCCTGCCCTAGGCTCCCGTGTAGCTAGGACCACAGGTGCATGTCACCACACCTGGCTAACTTAAAAAATATATTTTTTTGTAGAAACAGAGTCTCACTTTGTTGCCCAGGCTGGTCTCAAACTCCTGGGCTCAAGCAGTCCTCCTGCCTCAACCACCCAAAGTGCTGGGATTACAGGTGTGAGCCACCATGCCCGACCAAAACTCCCAATTATCAGTATCAGCAACATATTCACATTTTTCTGTGACACAGTAGGGAGACAAAACATATTTGTAGCCCA